GTTCTGACTAGACCTCTCAGACCTTATATACCTCCCAAATCCGGGTGTTGAAGATCTACCAAGACGGAGATCCCTCAACCGTCAACTGCCAATGCAGTAGAACTTAGAGCCTTAGGAATACAGCTACGACCACACCTTTAACTAACTCGACTTTACATTTTGCCTCGAACTCCACACCTGGGTTTGAGTTTCCTTGTTTGCCTGCGCCGCGCCTACCCATCAACTTGTCATAAAACCCCGCGACAGTAACATGTTCTCAATTCTATTAACTCCTCTAGGACCATTTTAAGTTCCTTTGATGTAGCACTGTAGTACGAGTAGTACTGTAAGTAGTTCTTCATGGAAATGCCAGATTTTGGAAAGAATGAAACCTGCTTTCTGTGATGACAGTGAACTCTCCCACCGATGGTTAAGCTTCATAACTGCGCATATGTATTAATACATGTACTGTACGTAGCTAGTGGGCCACACTTACTTTTACCAGATCGATGGTGCAAGATCGTGTGATACAACTTGAGAAGTGTAAACGCCATAATCGGGGTCGTTGTTGGCCATTGCTTTCTTCTGCACGCCTATTTGAGCCGTCATCCCCACGGCAATAACAAGGAAAGCCCCGCCAAATGTAAGGCACTCCCCCCCCTACAACGTTGTCACGCAAACAGGCAAATGCAATGGGTTGCACAATCGAAAGGGCCTAGAGCGCTGGTTTAGACATGAAGGGTCGGGCACGGCCAATATTTGCAACGAGAGCTCCGTGGCCAACCGCAACAATGCCACGGTGGCACCATAGTACGTGGCAGAGCGAGATGAGCTAAGGAGGTAGTCCTTGAAGCTTGTGGTGAGTCCATGGGGGGATGGTACGGGAATGGCAACGGTCATCGCATCGCCACCACCAACGTACACGCGGCGCCCCAGATGAAAAGCGCGGTGTCTCGGACGAAAGGTAGGCCTTCATGAGGGCTAGCAGGGCGCACGCAACAACGACAAACACTAGGAACAACATTTCGTCCACGTCTGGACCGAAGAACGCGAAGTAGAAGCCCAGCCAAAACGATACTTTGACGTATCGAATCCCCGGGAAAATGACATAACGTGCCAGGATGAACACTACCAGTCCACAAATGCCGTGGGTTAAGCAAGAGATTACGGCCATGGCGTCGCCGTGGTTGAGCGATCGAAGCGAGTTAGCGGCAGCACTTGATCGCTTGATGTTGACATCGCTGCCAAAATATACAAGGCAAGCATTCGGGGGAATTCCACGGTTGAGATCAGTTGGAAAATTGGAATACAGGCGATATACATATAACGTTACTACTTTCTAGTTGTCCGACATCCAAGGTGAAAGTGCAATTTGTAACGTGTTGAATATTTCAAACAAATTTGAAAATGGATTTACATTATTCTGATCGAATGTACTTTTGGTGAGACGTTTTTCGGTCGTGAGGACGAAACCGTTACGAATGAACCAGGCGTTTCGTGCAACATTGTACTACATACTGTAATTCTACGCAGTATTGGTACCACGTTAGTCATAGATTAAGTATTTCCAAACCAAGTTATATTTTCCACTCAGGGGTTACCAATAATGCTTCCCCCTTTGAATCACACATGCAAACCCCGTACGTTTCACCAAAGATGTCCTGGTCGTCAGTTTGCATGGGGTCAACCGCTTGTTCGGGGGTCGTTGAATATCGCCACCACACAAGACACAATTCATTCCAAGCTTAGCCCACGGGAACCATTCCGTCCAGCCCATAGGGTGGCAATACAGGGCCAATAGTGTTGATAGCCCCAACGATGCCAGGAATGGGCCTGAGCAGACTATGGCCACTGACATGTACGCTGGACCGAGTTTGAATGCCAGCGCTCCACAAAGCAGTGACTCGATTGGTACAGCGGCACTTGAGGATTTGGCACAGTTCGTAGTCGGGTTGGGGGGGGCGGCGGCGGTGGGGAAGCAAGGCAACAACGTGGACTGTAATTCAATACCACTATCGGCAACGCTGCCCCAAGGGAAAACTTCCCCACCATCTCACAACGACGGTGAAAGGCTACGATAGCAACGACTGTGTCGAAGTACCAATAGATAAACAACGAGGGGTCTTGGCGCAACGGGGCAATGTAACCCCCCAAGGCTGTAGCTGTCACCATAAACGTGGGTAACCGGGGAAACCGGTCGCCGTTCGTCGCCACCATCATGGCAAATGCCATCAGCACAAGCAATACCAGACTGACTAGGCAGTATACCACACCATGCCGTCGACGTTTAATAGTGGCAACACAAGTTCTGAAGGGGGGCTCTTTGTAACGATTTATTGGTGGCGCATGACGATGAATTCGGCAGTGAACTTCGTCAATATTTGACGCCGATGGGACGAGGTATTTTTTTATAACGAGTGTTTCAATGGGTCGACAACTACCATTTCATGTACAAATTGTGGCCAATCTCTCTATTGTAATGGACTCGTTCGCCTGGGTAGAGAAGTGCTGAGAACTCGAAATCTGCACTGAGATGCCCACAGTCGAGATGGGGGGTGCCACCTTGAGACGTAGCAAGTGATGAATTCGGTACAATGTCTCGTAGATTTGTGCCGAATTTCATGCTTGGAGTGTTGCGCGCATATTAGAAATGCAAGCTTTTGGTTGTTAATTGTGTTACTACATTCGTATGTGCACGGTTAATACATACAGTAACAGCAACTTTGCAGGTTCGAGCGCATTCAGAGTATTTTATTTGGCCCAACTTGAAGCTAGGGATGAGAAAATCTCTCATTTGAAGAATTGTATACTTTAAGTTAGATCATTCCTACTTCAAGTAGTATACTTGACCTAACCGTTAAGTACTTCTACTACCGGTACTGTTAAGTACTTCTACTACCGGTACTGTATACTTGCAAATTTAGTTCTCCATACTTTTCACTTTCACCGTGTGCCTAACGTTAATCAAATACTAGTTTTACAACTACCTACTCAAAGCCACCAGGGCAACTAAATTATTTTGATCATTAACAACTAACTACTACTTCATGACTTAGACTACGTTGGTGCGATCCCGTGCAAAGTCACCAGTGGGGGTATTTAGTGCGTATTGCGTGGGTGGTGCCAACACGACTCTGGCAGTGCACATATTTGTGGAGGCAGTCGTTGCTGTTTTCAAGCCGACGATCGGTGACGTGGTGGATGACTGTGGTGAGCTTCTTGGGCCAAAATACCAACCCAGCCCGCAAACTGCCACACCACCTAGAGCCCGTGCGATGGCAAACGTTTGCACAGACATGTCGAGCAACGTCCACACGAACGATGTGCCTGCTAGCGACGCCAGAAACCCGCCAGTGACCGCTGGCACCACGTCCAGGCAACAGACTCGCCGCAGCACCACCAAGCCGCTGATGGCAGCTAAGACCACCGTGACTAGGCCCACCCCCAGGTCAGTGGGGGTCATATCGCTGGCTGCAAACGCGACCAGAAGCGACGGATGGCCCTGCCAAATTAGTGCATACAGGGCGTCGATGACTCCGATGGGGGCGGCAGCCCCGACAAAGAACCGCCCCACAGAGGTATGCGTCGTCGTGAGCACTGTACTGCCAACGATCACGAGAGTTCCGGCGATAGCCAGCGGAATGAATACCTCCAACGCTGGCAACGTCGGGCCGATGGTGGTTCCCACAACCACCAAAGCAGACACGAGCACCACAACGCGGCTCTCGCACGCACTGAACGTCACGACAAGTCCGATCGTGATCACTGCCGACATTGAGATCAGTGCGAGGGTATGGGTAGTGCAGACTTGGACGAGCACTGTGGTTAATGTCGCGCTGCAAGTGACATACACATACGGCCACAGGAACTGGGACTTCTTCCAAGCTACATACATGCCAACAATGATGGCGACGATAACGGCAGCCACGGCGTACAGCGCTGGCAAGGTCATGGATCACAGGATGTGTGAAAATGGAGTTGTGTGAGAAGTTCGACGTGGTAAGAAGAGGCTGAGTGGCGAACGAACGAGCAGACGACAGGCGAACGGATGGATGCACCGGATGTTGGACATTAAATCTACAATCTTGTGAGCAATAATAATATATGGCAGAGAGTTGAGGGATCGTAGCATTCATAAAACGCTGGTAAGTGCATCCTAGTACAATGAACAAGTGTATTGAAGAAGCAATTAAAGTTGGCAGTCAACTGACATATTTGGTGGCAATTTAGCGGAAATTTGACGCATATTATATACTAGTACTGTAGCACGGTTGTGTCGACACCCCATGGAACTTGTATTGACGTGAATTTCTACTGCCAACGACGACGATGCTTGACACTGAGCATGATATGTAGAATGAACGCCAAGTCAACTGTTTTGACCGTATCCAGTTTCGATTCTGGACATCATCTGGACTGAACCGAACCATTCCGATAAGCAGTTTTGAGCAATTACAGGTGCAAAGCAGGAAATCTCGTCACCAATAATGTAGGCATTGTTGATTCTTCATTATTCAGATGGGTTGGGTCGTGAATAAAAGTACTAACAGTTAATATCTGCAACTCAGGGGGGTTCTGCAAAGATGGGTACCCAATATTGCATATGCACACCATAACCGAGAATTGGAACGCGTTAGAATTAGACGCGGAGTACTACTAGTATGTAGCAGGTGTACTATATTGCATAATATACATCTGGTCCAACGCATATGGAGAACACCACGGCAAGGGCGTGCTAATACTATAGCCCCGTCTTATCAAGCATAGATATAAATAAGCATACCCGTAGAGCGTAGGACTGGAGGGGGTAACATTTTAGGGTATGCGAATTGAATCTTCAGTCGCATACTAGTATTGAAGTAAATATTCCACATCCCGATACATTGTACGGACAGCATTTTGCCCGCGCAAGGATCAGTGTCGTCCAATCAATTACACAAATTCAGAATAATTTCACTTCTAAAAAGAAATCCAAGCAACCTCAGAACCCCCGGACCCCTTGTATTGATACTCCCGGGGTTAAGTTGTTGCATCGCCAGTAGTTGGCTATCACAAACAACTGAAATACACTTACTGAATTAACCACTACTGTATTGGAATGTGTTGTACTGGTATTGGTTTACAGTGTATTTGAAGGGGCTGTTCAAGCATTAGTCCCTACTAGTTTATCAAAGCAGCTGCTCCTTCAATTAGTTACACTTTTGGACATGAGAAACGTTCACATGTGGACAAAGAGGGATACACTGCACTGCAAGGCGCTGCAAAGATTGGACTCTTGGACGCGGTAGAGTATTTTTTAGAGGCAGGGGCAGATAGTATGTAATAAGCCAAGGTGGTCGGTCAGTATGTACCTCGCATTACTGTACCGAAAAACAGAGCTAGGTGGGGTTGGTTGGAAAGATGTTCTGAATAAGAGGAACCACTCTGTGAGTGTTCAAGCACTCGATAAGCGTATAACCCGACATGATAAATGGGTGATTGAATCTGACAGAGAGTGATTGACCGGGGGTTCCACTCGAAAAAACGAGAGGGCCGTTGATACAAATCAAGGGGGCGTTACTGCTCCTGGCAAGGAGCAGTTGTGAGGATTAGAAGGGGAATTCGCCCCCACTACTATAAAAACAATACTCTCCGACAAATGATGTGAGGAAATGGTCGAAAGCTGGAGGGGCGTTGGGGCAGTATGTGGCTTGTTGGTGATGATGGGTATTGACATTCTTGTCGATGTCTTGTCGTAAAACCAAGACGCGTTAAACGACAGTGGAATACCAAGTTGGTCGGCTGCATATGTATTACGAAGTGATCCGTGATCGACTGTGTAAACTCCACCCAATTTCCAAAAATGGACTACCGGTAGTTAGTTATATCACTCCTCTACTGATAATTAGAAGCCCTGACGCCAGCACCAGTGGCGCCAACGAGGATTCAGACGCAAACATCAAAAGTTTGCTTTTAGGAAGTGTCCAGCATAAAAATAGTGCATAAAATTTATTACCATTGCCATACCAGGCCAGCCATGCATTCTCTGCAAGGGCCTCCTCGTTTTCACCAGTTGAACCCCCGACATCATCATCACCCCCTGTCCAAACCAAGCTCGTGAGTGTTACAGTACTGGTGTCGTCTGATTGTCAAGCGCCAAGACAATCTCAGTGTACGTTTCCTCTTTAGCCATATCTCGAGCCATCACCTCTTCGTCGGTAAATTGTACAGATGGGCATTAATTACAAACTCTCATGAGGAATCAAAGGATGGTTTCACGTGATTGCACTCTGCCGCCAACAACAGATTCTTGAGCCATAGTGACTGGTGGGTGTGCCGTCGGCTCTGCGACAATTGGACTCCGCCAGCCGCGACCAACGGTGCATAGTGGGGGGCTGTAGTTTCAGGCATTTGGTTTGCAGTGTATTTGGTGGGGGCGTAATGGGTCCAGCCTGACGTGGCATCCCCCTGTGACAGCTTCAAGGTCTTCGCACTCGAGCCTTACGTGGCCATCGGTGCCATGCTTGCGTTGTGTTGTTCCAATATGGTATTTCTGCTAGCCATCTTGATTGCCCCCCTTTCACCTCAACATGCGGGCGCAAGGTTGCACCGCGCCGCCTGTACCAGTCCAACCGATATAGCAGGCGCTCTGGACAGTAGCCCCCAACCCCTGTCCTTGACCCCCCCAGACGAAAAGACAGCGTCCACCTCAGTAGAACCCCGGGCGCGGTATGGTACGCGAAGATTGGTCGCCCACCTCCTAGGGATATAGACCTCTCTCGTACCAAGTAACCAGAAGAGGTCACCACCTCTCTCATCACTGTCGATGGCGAAGCGTTGCGTCGAATCAAAGCGTGGAAGTGACGATGGAAGAGCCGATAAACAACTCATCATGGTGACCAAGCTCAAGATGAAAATGGACGACCGGCTCTCCCATGCGTGGTTGTCGCTGTCCAAGCGCCTCTCCAGTAGCGGTAGCAGTCCCCGTCGTTGCCCCCCGGTCACCGTCAAAGGTATACATAGCTCCCCCTATTGCCCCTCCAGAAAAGACCGAAGGCGACGCTTTACATGACCAGTATCGACAAAACGGTGGCAAGCCAGAACAATTGGGATGATATGTTGGTGTTTTCGTGTAGTACTCGACAGACGCGTGTACTGCAACTCTCCCCCGGTTTTGAAGAATGGCATCTCCTCAAGCGTAAGGCATGCGCAGGTAATACATCATGTAGAATCAATCTCCACACTATAATATACCGACAGAATCAAGTGGTATTGTTTATTTACTTTTGGGTTGATTCTTTGCCAAATCTATCGATCGATTGTTTGTCCTGACTTTTGGATGTAAAGATCGTCCAGTCTCACACTAATTGAAGTCACACACGAATTCCATAATGAAATGGTCGAAGAGTGGATTTGATTGGCTATTTGATTTGTGTTCCAGGTTTTGATTAGTCGATCGATTTGTCTGCTCATTCGATTGAGAATTACATTCCAATTTCGAATCGACTTGACAATACTGTACGTTATATATTGTAATACATGCCCCGTGATTAGCCATCCATATATATAACAATCGCCGCTCAATTTTTGACATTGCCCTTGTTCATTGTGGAGTAGATGTGATGGGCTCATCCTATGTCCATGTTGTGTTGTTTTCAAAGTATACTAGTAGCTTACTACTCTGGAGTACTATTAATACTACTATTAATACTTACTAGTTTACTAGTAGTACGTCGAACTAGTATGCAGTCTTGTCGTTTTACCCAAAATTTGGGCTGATTCTTTGCCAAATCAATTATTTGTCGAGACTTTCGGATATAAAGATCACACTAATTTCAGTCACATACTAATTCGGTGTTGAATTGGTCGAAGAGTGAAATTGATTGGCCACTTGATTAGTGCTCTGGGTTTTGATTGGTTGATCGATTCTTCTCTGCCGATTTGGTGCTGCTCATTCGATTGGGTACCCCACTCCAATTTCGAATCGACAATATTAAATTAATAGTATACCAGTACTATTAATAAGCTTACTGTTAGTACTATGAAAAGCCCCCCCAATGCATACATACTCCGAGTAGTACTGTATGTACTACGTAGTACTACTACTATAGGAATAGTTAGTTTTGCAGAATTCCTAGGACTGCGTCTTGTTTAGCTAATGATTTGACAATACCATTTCTACCACGTTCAATTCTTCACGTGAACCGTTTTAAGCTGGGGTGACCAATGGCTGGAGTTCGTGGTTGATTGCAAGAGACGAACCCTGCGGTGTTTTGGTGTGGAATTGGGTGTACGCCGCCACGACGGCTAGCACCACCGCCGCGGGCCAGGCAATCCACGGGCGCAATGCGAAGATTTTAAAGTAGTCGGAGGATGATACCACTAGCGGGCCGGACAAGGCAGCGCCGACGTAATGCACAGCAAAGAAACTGCCCGTGGAGGCGGACGACCAAATGTACAGCTGGCGCTGGGGCTCCGCGTCGGCGTACACCATGAAGAAGCCGGTGGAAATGGCGAGAAAGATGGCCACAAAGAGGCACGTAACCCAAGAGGTCGCGCCAGGGACGCCAAAGTAGATGGATCCGCTGGGCTCGGTGACGGTTTGGACGAGGAACATGGAGTAGATTGTATACACGGCATGCAGCGGGAGCGCCGCCGCCACCAGCACGGGACTCGCCCCATCGACGATCCAAATCACAATCGCAAGCGCTGGAATCGCGGCCAAGCCCAAGTAGTAAGCGACTTCGCTGATGAACTCAATCGAGTAGGCGAAAACAAAGCAGATGGAGATGGCGGCGACGAGCGCCGACAGCTTCGGCGCGAGAATCCCACGGAAGGCCACGTACAGCGTCAAGGGAACGATCACAAGCCCAAAGACGAGCAGGTAGATGCTCGTGAACATGTCGCTAAAGTCCCCGAGGTGGCGGACGGATGTTATTGCGGGCATGGCAATCTACAAATGGAAGTGCTGCCCTTCTTTTGTGTCAAGATATGTCGTGTTAGCATTTGTAATCGCAAAATATAAGCAAATATAAACACAAAAATCTAATGATACGTCGTACTTTTGAATTGCTGGATACTAGTACCAGTATTATTGTTGAATGTTCAATCATTATATAAATTGTGTTTGCAGTCATATCACAAAATATGCATATTTGCGCCTCTCCATCGTAGTTCGAAATAGTGTCCAAATTCTACCCATAACGACAAGCAACACTGAAAATCCGTACAATTCCGTCATTAACAAACAGTATTATTTTAATAGTACTGTTTGTTAACGTGGTCTGAGCATACAAATTTCCATATAAATCTCATTGAAACAGTAGTATTTCGGGTCAAAACAACAGTGGAACTGTTTTACTATTTTAATAGTCAAACAGAGGTGATGTGATGTGGTCTGAGCATACAAATTTCCATATAAATCTCATTGAAACAGTAGTATTTCGGGTCAAAACAACTGTGGAACTGTTTTACTATTTTAACTGTTTTACTATTAAAATAGTAAAAGAGTTCCACTGTTGTTTGACCCGAAATACTGTTTCAATGAGATTTATATGGAAATTTGTATGCCCAGACCACGTCACCTCTTACTAGGGGTTAACTGCATCGCTAGCGGTTAGCTATCGCTAACAACTGAGATGCACTTAACCCCGGAGATTAGCATCGTATGTACTCACTGGGGGTAGGACGGAGTCCCAGGTTACCGGGCTACGGGCGAAATTGTGTATCGGGATGTAATAATTCCCAACCAATTACACAGTTTTTGCTCAAATATAGTACAATATATTGGAATCACATCGAGATATTTCGCATTTTGTTCTTCAACTGACGATATATATACAATAAAATTACTCTTTGGCTGAAAGATTGACAACTACAGCAGTGATCAAGATACCTCGTACTATTAATAGTAATTTACTGTACGTCTGGTAACATTTCAAAAATAATATTCCATTTTCTCGCAAAATGGGATTATCCAAAATGTCATTTTCAAAATGGAGGTAAAAGGTCCATTTTGTAATGTGGCGTTTTGGACCTCTTCAACGAGTAAATCCCACGTGGAATTTTTGGATTTGGGTTAAACCTCTGCAAGCAAGACATCTTTCAATTTTGATCAGATTTGTTGAATTTGGCCCTAAAATAGCACTTTGGGCCTGAATATTGCAATATTTCTGGTTACCAGAGGAACCCTTACTCATCTACTTGTCAAATATGATGTTACTGATCAAATATGTAAATATAAAGGTATATTTCCATCGCCCTTGGACTCAAATTCTCGTTGGCTGTAAATTATTCACGCCAATCATAATATATAGTGAAGTTGACATATTTCCAAGTGGGATAAACTGGGACAATGGATGCATTTGGATGCACAACACACAGCTCACAAGGGGTTTGCAAATAGCAATCGTTTGCTATCGCAAACGATTGTTAATGCGTAAACCCCTGGCATAGCATTACACGTACGTTATCCGGGGAGGAATGGGTACTGTTCTGGTGAAAGCATATTGGGCGGCTGGTGACCATGATGACGTCAACAATTATTCTTTGGGATGAATTCGATGATTGGGTATATCCCCATGGATAATATCATACTATTAATAGTACTAGTAATAGTTAGTAAGTATCATTTGAGGCGTTTTTCCGTGTTTCTTCACAGTCCGATTTCCCCAGTTACTGTACTCAGTCATTACATCTCTGGGTTAGAGGTCTATAGACCTCTAACCCAGAGATGTAATGACTGAGTGGCTAAGAATGGGCTGATGACCCAGTGATAATGTTTTTAAGGTTATGAATCGTCGCTCAAGCAGGAAATATCCGACGAGGAGTCGAGATCCCCAACGAAGTGATCGAGTCATTTCCAAACTCTACCCAGTGTTCGCCCAAGGTATTTAGGTGTCAAATACCCAATTTATGTACTGTGTAAGGTAATAGTTCACCTTTTGTTATTTTTTAGGCAGCATTTATCCAACACCTTCTGTTAAAAACCCGGTATACACCCAGCGAGAGGGTAAATAAAACCACAATTAAGTACACATCCCAATTTCTATTTTTAGAATAATTGACTACCGAGCTTGGTGTCGGAGCCATCAGACCCCGCATGATCAGCAGCAAGAGATATACCCCCAGCCAAGCACATGGACAATCTGGCCTTCCGCTTTTTCTTGTGCTTTTGACTTGCCTTTCTCTTGTCCTTTATGAGCTTCGTACCAATGGCATTTAGTCGATTGATGTACTGGAGTATTTGTTTGTTTAAACGTGACGTCGGTGGCGTATCGAACGAACTGGAAGTTCTTGAATTGATTCCCTGATGCGATAAGGTTCTTCATGGACCACTGCTCGGCAAGCTGAGCGTCGTAGGACCGCATGAAGAAGGGGTGAACGGCCTTGATGTACCCAAGGACGCGCTTCTCGAACGTGGGAGGTTTCTGCGAGAAGACAAGGGCCACGACGTCCTGATTTGCCACAGTGCTTCATCGACGCAAGCCTCATAAGGAGGAGGTCCCTTGCTGTCACCTCGGACTTTCGTCCAGACCCAACGTTCCAGTTCTTGGACACGAAATGGCGCAGGTCAGCCCACAAAAGATCGAACTCAGACGGCGAAAAGTTCGTGAGGGAGAATATGCCTTCGGGACCTTGGGTTGAGAGAAAGGCGTCGTAGATGGGGGAGTTGGAGTCTGCATCCTCATCGGGCTCCTCTTGGCGCACAGTCGTGAATCGAGCGAGTTTGTCGCGGCGCTGTTGCTCGAGTTCCTCAATCAAGGCCATGCCCCGCGTGAATGCACGTGTGTTTACATGCGATGGTTGTTGGGTGGGCTGGGATGTTGGCTGTGAAGGGCTCTGCGAGTCTTGCAAGGTGTATCGGCGAGGCATGGAGATAGTTTGGTGCGGGTTATTGGAGAACAAGCAGTGAATTCGGAAGTGATTGAGTGTTTTCCAATTAAGTGGATGGATTTGAAAACGATGCGCGCCAAACGAATTCACCCAATCAACTGTAGGCAAATACATGTGTGCGCATAGTCGTGGCGCCTGTCGATTACTCGTATTGATAACCAATGATTTGGATTACTCTAAAATAATTGCGATAATCAAGAATATTAATTGTCACACGCAAATCATAGGATCGGTCATCAGGTGGTCGTCAGCATTGGCATTTTAATAACCATATGATTTTATTTGATCGGAAATTCACAATGACTAACACATGTTTTTGTGCCTATTAGTGCGCTCGGAAAGTGTCTCTCTGGATGTATGGTAGTGGTAGTTAGTCCATACATAGTACAGTACTCCGGAGTAGTATTTTGCTCGAAATCGATCCATGCTCGGAAATGCTCCATCGTTTGCTCGAAACAATTGCGCACCCACAATGACCACTACTGTGCCGTCATGGCACGCTACAAGTGCATGAGAACACCTCAAAGAGAGCCGCGAACGATACCTACAGCGCCGTGCAGAGCGGTTTGCGACAGAAACTGCCCGCGCCAGCCGTACTTCGCGTGGCATGTCCCTTGCCTCCCATGGCGAGTAAGTGTAGTCGCCGCTGATAAATGATGCATGTGGTTTTTAATAATAATAAACGGCATACAAACAACAAGTATAAATATATTTTATTGTGCAAACTTTGTCTTTGATTCCGATCTACTTGGAAGTACTACTCAGTTATTGCTATCGAGTCAATTTGGAAATGACTTGGATATAGGAAAACACTGTTTCTTCAGAATTAATTCTATATGAGTTTCATTATGACCTGTCACTATTTTAATTAAAAAACGGTTTTTTAATATTATACCGCTATTTGTATTGAATTGTATAATTATTTAATATATTATGGGGGTGTCTCGTGTGGCGAGTTTATTTCCGACTTTTACAAATTTCGAAATGGCAGGTTTAAATCCGGCTGGAGGTAGTACACTAGAGCAAGTCATCAGTAGCTAAAGCATACTTCGAAGTTCTAAAAGTATTGGATATAAACGAGGAACATTCATTCTCTTCCGAAATATGTGATGAACTGGTTTGGTGACCTATTGAAACAGCATTTCGGGTCAAAACAACAGTGGAACTGTTTCAATGAGCGAATTATTCCTGAAAATCCACAAATGAACAAGCTGTATGGGGTGCAATGTAGTAGCTAGGCAGGCTCCACGTGTAAGTACATCCAAGGCAATAACACTCGTTATAAGTTACACAGATATCAGATCAGCTAGCTTGTTTTGAGAAAGCACACAATGCGCGTGACAACCGCGTTGCTCCATGCATTCAGGGCGGTACATAGCGGATCCAAGACGCATTCCGCGATGAGAAGGAAGTTCATGGCGTTGGGTGGCGGGAGTCCAGTGAGCATGGCGAACGCACACATGACGATGGCCACGCCTCCATTGCGCACCGGCACGACAGCGTATGCCCCCAACGTGGCCAACACCACCACAAGCACGATCTTGGACGGCGTCAGGTACACTTGCAGGCCAGCGTTGGAGAACATCCAGAGCATCGAGAGGGCGATGTAGAGTCCGCCGCCGCTCTTGTTGCACGTGACCCCCACGTCCAATGCAAAGCGGGAAGTGGTACAAGGCGCCGAGCCTGGCGCGCGGTCGATATTGCGAGCCAGCACTGTTTGCCCAGCTCGACTTGAAGACGTGCCAATGTTGTACCATAGCGCTTCTTTCACAGCCCCGAGGAACTTCCACGGATGCACTTGGCCTCGCGTAGTTAGGACAAGGAACAATGGCAGCACCGCCACCATGTGCACCGCCGCCACGACCCCAAAGCACATCACGTACCACGTGAGTCGGACGAGATCGTTGGCAGCAGACGCGACAAACACATTGTGCGTAGTCATGTAAATCGGTCCAGCGATCAACGACATCAAGGCCACCGGTAGGCCAGCGACCACCCATCCTGTCATGATTTCAAACGTGCGCACGAGTTCGCGAAGGAGATCCAGTAGTTTGGTCGACGTAGCTCGAGTGTACGTGCCAGTGGCCACGCCTAAGCTAAACGCGCCGAGCACGAGATGGACGAGGTTGACATTGATGGCATTTGTAAACGAAGTGGACGTGAGCAGGACTTGGACGAGTTCGGGCAGCGAAGACGACTCGAGGGTGCGGAATCGGTTCACAGTCGGATCAATCTCAATCGAACGGCGGCCTACGTCGCCCACGTAAAACGCAAGTTTGCCTTCCATGGACCCATTATACGGAGCACAGTGTAGAGTGTGCGACGTCGCGTTGATGTATTGCAAAAACGTCGATGCAGGGGATGGGCACTTGAGTAGGGCTTTGGGGCGACGAAAGTAATAAGTCGACCCTTGAAATCGAGGCAACAAGTACACCCCCAACGCGACCCCTTGCCCCACAACCAGCAGCGTGGTCACGAACGACAGCCACAGCACCCGCCATCCCGCCTTGCCTAACCGTGGGGACGGTTGCGCAGTGATCGTAGCCGCCACGAGCACAATGTTGACAAATGCTTGGGGGTAGACAACGCATGTGAGCGCTCGTAGGTATAACACTCCGAGCTGGTTGATGGCCTTTTGAGCTAAGCGGTCCGACGACGCGTCCCAGTACTTTAAACTTGCCTTGATGCCGTCCATAGTGAGAACGTACGCGAGAAGCAATCCCAAGCTTGCGCCGAGCAGAGTGCCAGGCGCGCCCAAGTATAATTGCAGCCAGTTGGCTCTGGATTCGTGGTGGTGATGGTGCCGCGACGTGGTGGGGAGCGCGTCCGTGGCGTTCGAAGAGGGGGCGGCGGTGGAGGCATGACCGAACGCGGAGGTGCTGCCGCTGCCGGCCACTGAGATGTGCTCGCTCGTGGGCATTGCTGGAAATGGATACATCAGTACTAACATAAATAGTACTACTTCGAAGTATTAACGTTATGAGAGAAAGGACTGATGGGTGGTGGATTGAAATGGGTGCTACTCGGCCCTGTCACAGCTCGAAGCTGCATTCAAAATCCCTGGATGATGTAGAGGTATCGATTGCAAAGCGTAATGCATTATCAGAGGCAATACTTATGTATTGAAGAGTTGAACGGTGGACGTATTATATATGTATTACTAGAGGGTACTGGAAAAGACGTTTAGCCATTTGTGGGTTTTCATATGGGATTGCCTTATACTATCGTACTAGTAAGTATAATACGAAGTGTACTACCGGTACTAGGTGAGCCCGTTGCTCTGCCGTCGTGTTAATTGCCGGTTGGAGCAAGATATGTAGTTTTTGTTGCTACTTATTATTGTTGTCATAGTTGAGCCTGGCATAGTTTCATACATTTTCTGTTTGTAGTATGCATTTTCAAAACTCTCCTGTCTGCGGTACAACGGGGTCCGGTATTTTGCCAGAAGATGGGAATCAGTTCTTTTGCGTATGGTCCACTGAAAGTAGTATAGGCTGCGGTAAAAACTTTGCAGCTATGCTAAGACTAAGCCGTGCATCTCAAACTCACCACCCTGTGATCTTTGACGCGTGGCGTGTTGACTTTTAAGCAGTTAGCTCCACCTCTCATGAACAACCAATAGCGCCGCCGTTTGACACGCGACGTGTCGGTGCCAACTTTTGGGTATGCTCAATCGCATCGCTAATTATCTCGTGATATGTTGGTCAGAACCCTTTCGTCCGATGGTGGTGATCTTCCCACCATCCGAACGGGTAAAACCCTACTATCAGCGGAACTCCAGTGTAATCCACTTCGTACAGTACTACACTAAGCTTACTGTTATTACTGTAGTACTACTAACTGTAAGCTTAGTACACTGTACTGTAGTACAGTTTGCCGATGTGTACGTCCAATTATTTACTGTATACAGTACTACTATTATTAATAATACTACTAGTAGTACGTAGTATTGATTTCAAATATCCGTGATAGTACTTGTATTCGTGCGTCATCCAAACGTCATCCCAACGTCATCCAATATTAATATTAGGCCAAATCTTAATTGAGACTCTCATCTCTTCTAATTAGGATCATCATGAGGATAATGCTAGGTCATTGCATACAGGCCTCGTCAGGGAGCGGTACGGCCTACGGCCAACCTGTAGCTGCCCGACAAGAAGAAAAGATAGATCATTCGGTGAAGTGAGAAGCTTAGATCCGCGCTTGCGCAGTCGGCCTCCCGGGCGTTCGGGGCCAACGTAAGGCTTGGTCACTACTTTAGGTTTCACCCAATGTCATCCACGCTTTTAATTCAACAATTATATTATATTAACCATAGTATCCAAGGTTGGCATTAATATTCAATGCTGTAGTACTACGTAGTATTAATACTAGTAACGTAAAAAACCAATTTAACATTCCGTCACGTGAATGAAATGCAAAAACGGCGTAGAAGCCATTGGTAATAGTCATTCAAGATTGGTTTTAAGTTCCCTAGTCGACACGGGCCACATTGGGTTGGATCTGAGGTTTTGTCGAGTGTTAAACTTGGTGGACATCCATCCACAATATATATTTAACTCTATAAAACAGTACCCTTGTATAAATTATATGCAACCTGTTGTAACCGCTTACCCTAAACACAGAATTTCAATGCTCAAACACATACATACTTTAAGATAAAAAAAGATATCCTAAATTGGTTATCAAAATGTGAGAACAAATGCTTAGAAAGTAACAAATTTACCTGTGAAGTTCATCGCCTAAACTGACGATTCGATTATGAACTGAAAGAGGCGCGACTTGTCTATTGGAATCACTATTCAAAACTCAAATATCGTAACGGACTCAAAAGTTATGTCCATTCTACTCCGACGCCTCCAAAAAAGTTATCCTAAATTGGTTTTTTACGTTAAGTCTTAAGTATGATGGTTTGTTTGGTGGGTTGTCGTGGTTGGTGGGATATCGAGATGTTATTGGCTTAAAATCAGACACCCTGTCAACAAATTGATACATCGAGTGTACTCATTCAACAAAGAAACTCGTCATTTGTCAAAAATCGTATTTACAGTATTCGAACAAGGTGTCTGACTTTAAACCAATAACATCTCGATATTTCGTGTTAGCATTGTTTGATTGGATATGACGAATTGTATGCAAATTCTTTATTATACAGTTAACAGTAAGGTGATTTATGTATTTCACCTAGTGTGCATTTCACTCGTTATGGCTATTCACACAATAAACCTGGGTGTTTGTACCCCAGTGTTTTAGATAATCCGCACCGTGATTTACTGTTAGGATGTCACGTTTGTATTTTTAGGGAGGTCATTTATGCAACTCCCTCGCTTTTGAACATTTGAAAAGTGCAAATCGAAGTTATATCTGCTATTCTCGGGACCAAATTGCACAATTCACTGTTCATCATGAAATTTTTTGATATTACAAATGACACACAGCGAGGACATGCGCCGGAGTTCTACCGTAAAGCGTATGGTGCCACATCGTAGAAAACCACGCCATCTTCTTGTTCCATCGCGTAGTACATGCTACCTGGAATAACAGCCAAGGTGTTTTGGTCACGTAAGCATCACATGTGATTGTTATTGCTCAGAGTTATTTGGCATTTATAAAACCCCAGTGAATTAGCTAAAACAACAGGTATTTATTCAACTTTGTAACACAGTTACAGAAGAAGTATCACGACGCCAAAACAAGTGCAAAGCACAATACTACGTAGTACTATTTACGTAGTAAGTTACTTGACGTTAAATCATCAAAGGTGATCCCGGCCAAAGTGACCTTGCCAGCCACCCTGGATGGGTGGGTTTCCACGACACCAGTAGCTTTGCATGTAAAAGTTTCAGTACAGGTAATATCATTCATTGCTTAACGTTAAAAAAACAATCGGCCAGCTTGGCATACTTGCTGAGCCGCTTGGTAAATATGATATTTTCGGATCGTGTTTGATCGAATCTACCTGAGTGTGAAATCGGAATAGCGTGGTTTTACTTGACAAAGATATGTCTTCAGTCCATTACTACCCTTCTTCAATACTGTACTACTAGTACTGTAGCACAGTATCCGATCTGTTAGCTCCTCCGGCCCGTCCAAGACACCCCAACGATAGGCTGCAGGATGAAAGCCGCATCCTTCCTTAGCAAGTAGGCTTGGTGGTTGAGGGGACTGGAGTCAGTAGGTGCAGGAGTTGTTGGAGCACGAGTAGAAGTAGGGTAGGTTCCGGCGTAGACACAATTGTTATGATAGGCTCCGGGGTGGTCCGTATAGCGATCTCTTGTGGGGGGGTAGATGCTGTGGCTTTCCCCCTCGACGCCGTTGTGAATACAACGTCCACTACTATCGGTACCTTCTGGAAAATGAACAGGCTGGTTACGCACACATCTAGTTATAGCGTCCAGAAACCATGGCGACCTCTACCGCACGTTTAGCTTCATGCACTTGCAACACACATGAAAAGTACTTCAAGTAAATAAAATAGAGGTAAAATATAAAAATGTTTTTAAAGAATGATGTGCGGCAGCACGTAATGGAGAAGCTTAACCTAACGGGCGGGAACTTTTCCTGCGTGATAGAATCTCTCACCTGGGCCTAAACCAATAAAAGAACTCTGGAAAGTACAGCTATCTATATATTAGCCAATACAATATTGGATTAAATAAGAGTCCCTGAGCAAGAAAGAAATTACTTGTCGCTGATTGGCTATAATCCATTTCGGATTTCTATGGGCAGACTGGATATTAGCCAATCATACATGTCTCGGCTCGGGTTGTACGAACGACCCTGGGTGAAGTACTTTGTTCACACTATTAATAGTATCAGTATCCTAGCAGTAGGTACTAGTAGCCTACTTAGTCGACACAAATCACGCAAAACGCTCTATTCTTTCCGCACTCTGTCCGGTCTTACTACTACTACGACTGCTAGGATTACTACAGTACGATCCCCCTCAAATAGATTTCGAAGTCCGGCCGATCTACTAGTTAGTACTAGTACTACTACTTCCTCTCTACATGTATGTTATAGCTGTTAGTCCATATCGGCGGCCTTGCCAACGGAGCTATCTTCTTCAGTTGTGAGCGCCACCAGCTCGCACGCAGTGTCACAGACGACCAGTAGATCCGGATTGATCGAGTCCGGCGGCAGCAAGTAACATGCGACAGTGGTAAGGAGGAGGCAGGTGCCGTAGATGCCGCAGACGCCCGCCACAGACATGGACTCGCTGTCTGCGATGAACGGAGTGACGAAACCTCCCAGCCGACACATGGCAGATGCGATGCCGTGGCCGCTTGTGCGCACTATCGAGTATATTACAAGTAAGTGGAAATGCAATACAAAACATGGACAAGAGTATAGAGTGACTGAGTGTACATATACACAACTACAAGTATGTAGTAGTAGTAGTTAGTAATAGCTCTCGCAAGAATACTACTAGTACTACTAGTATGAGTAGGCTTTACGAAACACAAGATCATCAAGCGAGCCGCGTCGATTTGAACTCACTGATGAGTGCAAAACCCAATAAAACCCAACAAGTCGTGTAAATGGAAGAGACATACATACAATAAGGTGGAATTAACTGTCGTATATATATATATATATATATATATATATATATATCGTCATGGATATTGCTTATAATTTAACAAATCAAGTATACACGAAACAACGACTAGTAGTAGCCATCTACTAGTAGCAGCCATCTAGTAGTAGTAGGTAAGTATCCATATTCGTTCAAAGTAGTTAAAAAAACAAAATTATAAATTATTTTTTTGGGGGGAAGCATACATAA